CCAGTGTGCGATGTTTGAAAAAACAGACGGAGAATAGAAGCAATCATTAAGAGAATTTTGGAAAAACTACAATATCATGAATGCTGTAGAAAACATAAACCTTTCTTGGAATCAGATAACTGAAAGATCTGTTAAAGGAGTATGGAAAAACATTTGGCCAGATTTAAGTAAGAGCGAAACATCAGCTAGTGTTTCTAATGGTGAGCTTCTAATGATGAGCTTAAGCGGGCTCTTACTGTTGTAGGAAAATATATATGTATTTGTGTTATCGTTCTACTTAATCTTATAATAATTTTTTAGGTTAAAATAAAAAGCAATTCATCTATTTGTTAACTAGGTTTCTTGTCTCTAGCCGCACAAGACGTTATGCTTCTGCTTGCAAACTCCAACTGCTGTTACTGGTGATGCCATATTATTTTTTTTATTATCATATTTCATAAAATGGCAATATGTATCTATGGAAACAATTTTAGTGAAAAGCAAATGTTATTCGTTTATAATAAATGATCTGATTTTAAGACTGTTTAGTATATATGAGTATATTGCCTTAATTGATTGTGGATCAGTGCAGTTGAAAATTAAAGATTTGTTGTCTATGAAGACTGCAAGTAAGAAACGAAAATGGTAAGTTAGTACTGAGGAGTAGATAGGGTACTCAAACATAAAGTGATTCAATGTTTCTTTTTTTTATAAATTACATAGTGTAAATAGGTTGTTGATTTTGAGTTTGTGGATTTGCCCCTTAATACAAAATCGAGAGGTGTGACTTATTGACAACCGCAATCGGGCGATAACCTTTGCCATAAAAAATTGCTTTCGGTCAAAGAGGTAAGACAGGTTTGTCATCAATACCTCTCAGTATATTGCAATTCATGGAATGTCAGTTGGTAACTTTTAAAATGTCTTGAAATTTTAGATGTCTTTCATAGCGTTCAAGGGCCGTAGTTCGGTTTTCAATCCAAATTGCTGCAATCGGTGTTTCCACAAGTTTGTTATATTTAACACTTGAAGAAAGTCGTTAAATTGTGTAACTCAATTAAATTCACTTGCAGTAGGGTTATTAACGTGCAGGTAAAGGAGACGAAGGCGGCATATAGGTATCTTGATTGGTCTATTTGGAGAATTCGTATGATGCAATCAATTCCGCGTTTGAAAACTCTGTATGACATTTTTACAAGGCCTAATTCAAGAATAAGTGCTGCATTATATGTAGCTTGGGGGAGTGCTAACAAGCGTTTGTAGTACGTTGACTGAACGATTTTTAGTGAATCACAGTATCGCATGCCACACACTTTTGTTGCATATAAAAGTATTCTGGATACAGTGCAGTCGAATAGTTTTGCCCGACCTTCCCAAGAGTCAGATTTAAATTTACTATTCGTTTGTAATGCCGTTCCGTACGCCATTTTCCCATTTCTTATGAGAGTTTCTGCTGCACATTTGCCTAATGTGGAGCTTAAGAAATTTACTCCCAAGTATGTGTAGGAATTCACAACAGGAATTTTTTAACGATTGTAAAAGAATTTTTCCTTCTCTTCTAAAGTGGAAAATTTGTGTTTTGTCTGTGTTTACAACGAGCTTGTTTTTTTTGCAGTAACTTTTAAGTGCCAATAAACGTTTTCGTAAAATAAAGGGGGACCTAGCTAGGACAACGACATCGTCTGCAAAAAAAAAGCATCAAGGTATCATGTAAACCGTCAATATTGAGCCCTTCAATATGAAAAGGAGAGGTTTGATAAAATGTTTCCGATTATGTGATTTAATAAGATTCCAAAAGTCTTTCGATATTTTTACGTTAAAGAACTTATTTTTGACCTGATTTTCATATTCCGTTCTTTTTGCGGACAGAATTTTTTAATAATTAACTTTTGGATCAATGTATACCGTTTTAGTTTCAGCTAAAAAGCTCTCTCGCTTGCACGTTTTTAAGGCATTTACATTTTTCTTTGCAGCTGGTAGTTCTAAATCAAACCATGGCTTAGAAGTATAGTAAGGAGCGTTAGCGGATTAAGTAATATCCATTTCTGACGCTTAAACGGATTTTTGAATAGAGGTTACAATTAGATCCATGGTCGATGGATAGTTGAGTGTTATTATTTTGTAATTATTAATTAATTACAATCCTTAATAAAATCGTGGTTCATAAATATAATTTAGTAATATGATATGAGAAACATTTTACTGATGTTTCAATTTCGGTTTAGATATTCCGTTTTAGGTAATTGTTTTAATTTGATGATTGGTGTAGTCTCATCGGTACTTATTCGTCTTTTTTCGATGCGAATAACATAAAGCTGTGTTGTCTGAATAAGTAGCTATCATAGTTCTTGGAAATGTTGTTTCTTCAATATGCACTGGGTACACAAGACATGAAAAAGAGCCAACAACACTGGCTTGATGTACTCCTGCTATAATTACTAAGATATTTCAGTATTCTGCATCATATTTAACTGAGAAGTAGGATAGGATATTTAATTTAAATAGCAGTTCTTTGTGTTACACCGTGCATAATGACATTGCGATCTTTAGGTAACAAGTGATTATGTAATTTTTTTTGTCCATTTCAGCAATTTTTTGCACTTATTGCATAGTTGTGATTTCACCTTACTCAGAACTGATGGCTAGGTATTATATGTCATTGCGGCAATATAAGTTTTCGTGTTTCAAAGACGATTAACTTAAATATCTAATTAATATTTTGGAAGATTTTTTGGATATATGCTTGGTTATGTTATTTTTGTTGTACCAAATTGATTTTTGAAACGTTAAGGCTTAGATTTGTATTTGAAAGTAATTGTGGAACAGTTTGTAGATGACGGTTATTATCATATTTTAAGGAAAATTGATAAAAAAGCAAACAAATTTCGTATTTTCAAATGTTATAGTACACCGCACGATACGTGTATTTTTATGATTTAATTTAACAATTTGTAATACTTATATCTAATATAATACAATATATAAAAGCTGTATTAAGTAAAGAGAGTTATTTAAGAAAGAGTTGTAAACGTTAACTCAAATATTAAACTTAATGATTTTTAATAAGGAAAATTACTTTCTAAAAAAAAAAAATTAGAGCGATAGAAAACCAATAAATAACATAAAAAGAAATCAAGAAATGCAAATAGTCGGAGAATAAATTTCATTAAGTCCAACAAAACCAAAGCAAATTACACCATAGCAAACGATATAACCCATCGGCATTTTTTAATCTATAAAAATAATGTGTGTATTCGTCATTAAACCAATCAATCTTCCAAAAAAACCATAATAATCGAGCCGACAAAAAAAAAATTCAAAACTAGCATATACCGATACTCATTCTAAAAGTAAGTCAAATCCCAAAAAACCTGCATAATTTCCCTAAAATACACAGAGATATATTAAAAGAAGTACTCAAACATAGGAAAAAAGGGCCAGGGAAGAAATTCATGCGAACCACCAGGATATTGATTGATGAATTTATTATGAAAATGAATCTTGTTATAAAATACAAATTTTTTCACTTTTCAAAATAATCGGGGTTTTGGTTATATATTTCATATTAAGAAAATACAATACATTTTTAATACAGGTTGGTTTAAAAGTCTTGAAAGCGTCATCTATTAACCCGAAGAAGAACCAAAATTTATATTCCACTTTCATAATTCATCCAATATATTTAAAATTGTAGGTCTATATTTTAAAAGAGATTTCGGTATGGCGAATAATGAATAAAAGTTTTGTTGATGTTGAAAAACTTTTGAAAGGGTTCTCGGTATGAAAAGGTTTATTGTAAATTTTTTAACATAAAAAAAAAATATTTAAGCGAAAGCAGAAGGTAAACAATATCTAATGCTAAAACATAAGAGAAAAAATTGAGACGTGTGATAACAGGAAGAGATGAGTTAATACTCATTTCGATAATAGTTAAAAACTATAGTTTTATATATATATATAAACTATAGTTTTTAACTATTAACGAGCTTGTCAGTTATGTTAAATTTTAATTATTTTTTGTGTTAAATCGTAAGTACAGTGATTAATATTTTAAGTTGATAAAATAAATTTATATCTATTTATTATATCTTTATAAATTCTTTCCTTGTATTTGTGTTTTATGTCATAGAGTATTATGTATACATTTTATCATATTTTTTACAGTTATTACCTTAGTTCTGTTAAAGATAAAAAATCTATATCCAGCAAAAGCTTCAAACTAGGAAGACTATGAACCATTAAATGACCATTAGAAAGATATGTTGCTAAGCAAGTTCCATCTAAATATTTTGCAAAAAAGGGAATATATAAACTCGATATAGATAAAATACTAATTATTAAAATTATCTACCCTTCATTGCAATAGTTTCTGCTTTAACAGCTATACCCATTTCTTGTAATTGAATTCGATAAATGCAGCATTGGTTCATAACATCAAAAACTTTTGTTTGTTTAACACTTGTTATTACGAGATATTGCCTATCTGTAAAAGTATCTAACGCTGTACTAATGCTTCCACTTATTCCAGTTGTACTCCCACTACTGATGCTGTTTGTGTTGCCACTAACTGAAGCGTTAAAAATTGTACTGGCAGTTGTTGGTGTTAATATCGGACTAGTTTTCGCACTTCCTTTTGTTGGTGCACCTGAAATAAAAATAAAAATAATATAATCACTACATTTAATCATGATTATATATTATAACATATTTTTTTATTTTTCTAATTGCAAAATCAAACGAATTTGGCTTCATGTTGGTTAAAAAACAAAAAAGTGTACAAAAATATTGTATACTTGTCATAGCAGAAATCAGGGCATGTATCCGAACCGAAAACCGAAAAAACTGATATTTTCGCTGGAACGAAAACCGGAACCGAACCGCAAAAAGAAATATTTGCACGAAACATATGTTAACTAAATTCAGAACTAAAATGCAACACACTATTGAGCTATAATTTATTAACAGGAATATATTATATACTTTAAGTAGGCGATAATTGAAAATTTTTTTCAATTTTATAAATAAAACGTGTCCGTTTTAGTGCTAAAATTTCATGCAATAATAAAAATTTAAAATAATAATAATATATAAATAATGAAAATGAAAATTTATATTTATTATTATCCAATGAGTTAACTGCACTAAGAAGTGAAAATGAAAAATTGAAATCTTTTAAAAACCTACCAGAAATCATAGAAACAACTCATAACATTGCAAAATATGAAACCGAAGAGGAGGAACTTGCCAGGGAGACGGACTGAATCTTAAAAAAGAAAAGACCAACTAAAAAACGTAAGGCCGAATCCTTTCCTGAAGTAGCTAGTCAAAGTAGATCTAGTGTTGAAACAAATACTTGCCCAAAAAGACAAGCTGCCCCTAATAAAATTGCTCGACCTCCTCCTATTGTTATCAACGGCTTAAATGATTTAAAAAATGGCATGCTCAATTTATCGCAACTATAAAAAACAAGTTTTTTGTGAGACTTATAAATAATGGTTCACATAGAGTATCAATTTTTGACTGTTTTGACTATACATCTGTCATAAAACTCCTAACTCACGAAAATATTTCCTGGTTCAGCTACGAAGACAAGCAAATTAGGCCAATAAAAGTTATAGTAAAAAATCTTCCCCACTCGTGTGATCAAGAATCGATTATAAATGACTTAAACAACCAAGGTTTAAAATTAATCGGTGCGATAAACAAACTCAAATGGAAGACTGAACAACCGCTTGATATGTTCCTTTTGTTTGACTCAACCGAAGATGTGAAGAAAATATATGAGATAAAAAGAATTCTTAACACAATTGTAAAGATTGAACCCATCAAACCGTCAAACTTAATTCCTCAATGCAAAAAATATCAATCGTTCGGTCACAAAAAAGATTTCTGTGGAAAACCTCCACGATGTGTTAAATGCGCCGGCAAACATTTAACTTCTGGCTGCCAAAAGACAGCGTCCGATAAGCATAAATGCTGCAACTGTAACGAACTGCATTCAGCGAACTATCGTGGTTGTATAGTCACTTAAGAATTACAAAAAATAATATTGAAAAACAAACGTGACAAAATTAAGGCTAACGAAAATAATTAAGTTGCTAATTCAGAATTCGTACAATCACTACGAGCCGTTATGGAGCAACTAAGACCAGTACCAACGGCAAACCACTCCATATCAAAAATATATGTATCAGCGGATCTCAAAAAAAAGTACTCATGTTTATCTACGCTATGACACTGTTCAACCACCTCTCAAAGCATCTTATGATGGACCATTTAAGGTAACCCATCGCGACGATAAGTTGATAACTATTCTACGAAAATACAAACCAGTACGTGTAAGTATAGATCGGGTCAAAGCTGCCTATCGTTGTGGTGACAGCACAACAGATTATTGCACATTGAAAAGCAGACGAAAATAACCAGGAGTATCCTGCAAATAAAATTCAAACACCGTCTAGCGACAGGTGAATTCGGTTGCCAGTTCGATTTGCTGAGAATGATTAATCAGTGACATAGGATCACTAATTATATCGTGACATTGCTTCGCTCAATCACTGGAGAGGGAGTAATACACAATTGGTGACCCGACACGAGCACATACTCACATACGACATTGGCGCGTACAGCAAATAGCAGACCCCTTAGCATTGTCAACACGTGGTAATTACAATTGGTGAGCTTGTAAAATAGTCGTTCTAACAACTATCGAAAGAGGTATATATTATTAAAGAGAAAAATAATAAGTCATTTTTATGACCACAACATTTTTTTACCATAGCTAGCGAAAATGGAATCTGATCAACAAATGCCGATCCTGCCGCAGCAAGATGAAAAAATCTCAAGACTTGCATTTAAAATTCCACCATTTTGGCAAGCTGTTATGATTTAAAAAAAATAAAGTCGCAATTTATTATTGCAAGAGTAACTCAAGACGCAACAAAATTCCATACCATTGAAGCAGCCGTGGAAAACAACATTTTAGCGAAAATTCACGACATTATTATTAATACACCAACTACAAATAAGTACAACATATTGAAGGACAGATTAATTAGCTCATTTACTGACGTAACGCCACAAATTAAAGTCATTTTATCGGTGAGTGGCGATAATCTCGACAAATTGGCAATAATGACAGATAAAGTATGTGACACAACTGAAACAGGTGAATAGGATTAAAAGTCCACAAACGCCAAATATTCAAACTTTGGAGAAAAAAATAAACAAGCTAACACTGCAAGTATCACCTTTAACAAGATCTCAATCACAGTCAAGGATATCTAACAAGTATTTTCGATCACCAAGCAAAAGCAAACCATTTTGTTGGTACCATTTTAAATTTGGTGAAAAAGCAAGAAAATGTGTGCAACCCTGCACCTTTGCGAACAATAAACAACCAAAAAACTAATGGGTTCCTCATCTTTGGTGATGAGTGAGTATTGCCCAGAAATTGGTCGCCTGTTTGTTTGTGATAAAAAACAAAAATCAGGTTTCTTATCAACTCAGGAGCAGATGTATCAGTTTACCTGGCTTCAAAGGCTGAAAAATTAAATACATTTGATGGTATGAAAAAATTTATAATTAATTTGGGTTTCAAAAGACATCTCGCATAAGAATTTATTGTAGCCGAGGTTACAAAACCCATTATTGGTTCTGTTTTTATCTCACATTTTGGTGTCTTAATTGTAACGACACGTTTTCGTTCGTTGGTAATGCTGAGGTGTACTCGGCCGCTGTCCAGCGGTCGTTGCAATACAATTTTTATTTTTGGAAGTCAAAGACAATGTGGTGTAGTAATTCAATTATTTATTTAGAAGAATTACAAAAAAAATTAGGTTTCACAATCTAATATAATTATAATATAATGCTGGTTTGCTAATTTGATGATTATGATTATTTGGAACAATCGTGCTTCTATGATTGTACCGATCGTTGTTACCACGTGCCTGAAATGTATCTGTCAGACGACACTACTCGCGCTAATCTTGGTGTTTTATCAGAAGACGTCGTTAACTGGAGATTAGAAGTGTTATGCTGGGTTACAGCCTTGATTAGCATTTATTAATGTTAGGACGTATTACTGCCTTAACTCAATCCTACAGAAAATACTACCAGTCAAGATGTATCATGACTACCTTGGCTTGGTTTACATATAAGACTACATATACAATCTACTAGTTAAAATGTATATAACTACCTTGACGCGATTTTTATTTAAATAGGCTATTAGTGCACCCCGACCTAAAAGATCTATTGTGCGCTACCTAGACGCGATACAAGACTACTAGTTAAGAAGTATGTAACTACCTTGCCTATAGTTCTACCGACTTGTTTCACAAAAACCTATTTCTACCTTTGAGAATTTCCCAACAAGTCATTTTGCTTGTACAATGCGCGTTTATTTATACTCTAACGACCGACTATTTTCCTGTAGCGCATCGGTACATTTGCCGTTGGTATTTTTGATACTTGTCTTTTGTTGCTGTTGTTCGCCTGGGTGTAATTTCTGTGTTTTGTGTTTTCCTGCGTTCTTAAATTCAACGTCCTTTGTATTTAGTTCAACCAAAGCTTTCATGCTTTGACGTTTCTTGTTTTGTTTACAAACGTGTTTTTTTTATATAGTGCCGGTGTATGTGATTTTAATATTTATATTTATTAGTAAATAATAAAAAAAAATTAATAAAATATATATTAAACAAAAAAATTAAATAAATATATTGTTGAATATTTGTTTATATTATGTTATATTATCATATATGAATATTTTGTTGTCATTAATTTTGTATGAATAATTTGTTATTTTTATTTGTATTGTAATAATTATGTTAAATATATTTGGTGTAAAAAATAACGTTGTCAATGCAATGCCCAAAATACGTCATACGCTTCTGTTGGCACATGAAAACAAAAGCGTCAAATTTCGTCTGCAAGAAAATGCACTCTTGCAGTTTGCAATAAGTTCATTGTTTGGTATGCATGGTCAAGGTTATTTTAGTTAATTTATTTGTTGTAAATTAATTATCAATTTTAAATAAAAGGCACAATTGAATTTTTGACAATTGAATTGATGCGAAGCCACATTCGTGATTGATTCATTTCTTTAGCTTTGTAAATTTAGTTCAAGTGCTGAATTTACGTCACAAAAGCGCCTATTCACTGGATTTAAGTGTTCAGTGACTAGGATAATTAGGACAATCGTCGAAATCTCTGGGTTCAAGTACTCAGTGGTTTTCTTGTTTAAATGAATCAACATAAGTACTGGATTCAAGTGTTCAGTGCTTGCAAATAGTTGATTCCAACGTTGATCAGACATTTTGGTTTGATCGCACATTTTGGTGACCCCGTGAAACGGACAGCAGCACAGGACTGGTTTGACGCAGCAACAGTCAACAATCAACAGTCAGCGGTTAAGTTTCAGCATTCAGCATTCGAAGAACATTTTTAAGCACATTTGGTAAAAAAAAACTACAAATCATCAATGACAACTCTTAATGAACTCATAGATGCCCAAAAAGAAAAGGGCGAAGAGATTCAGCGAATCATCAGGAACTTTAAAAAGGATTCGGCTGAACGCAAGCAAACATCAGCATACTACAGTGAAAGATTTCGTCGGCTTGATGTTGCTTGGAAGCAGTTTGAACAAACTGACACAATGCTCAGAACTCTCATCGATCAACCGACAGATGATGAGTATTTTACATCTTCCTATTACGAGAAAATAAGAGAACTAACAAATGAATACAGTGAAATATTCAAGACAGAAGCCATTCGGATCAAAGCAGCAGACAACTTTGGTGAAGCTGCTAGTAACCAAATGGCATCACAGCCGCAACTAGTGGCTACGACAAATGGTTTGATAAGAAAAATATCTGCTCGAATGGCAGCTCTAAAAAGATTAGTAGAGAGCTTGTCAGAGAGCGAAGGCATACAGCCACTTCAATATTACGAAATAAAATCAAACACAATCATGCAACATTGGAACCAATTGGAATGTTTGCATGATGAAATCTGGGAAAACTTTGAAAATCCACTGATGTCAGGATTCAATCAAGATGAGTATTACCAAATTGAAGATTTGGTACAACAGTGTTTGATAGAGTTGTCCATAAAATTGGATCAATTACAACAGAAACAAGCAACAGTAGCAGAACCAAACATGCGGTCCTCACTGCCATTGCCAAAGGTAACAATCCCAAGTTTTAATGGGAATTACTTAAAATGGAGGCAATTTTTTGACTTGTTTACACAAATGGTAGACAATCAGCCACTACCAGCTGCTCAAAAAATGTGGTACTTGAAATCACATGTGACAGGTGAAGCTGAAAAATTGATAAGTCATTTCAGCATAACGGAGGACAATTATTTGGCAGCTTGGACATTACTGCAAGACCGTTATAATAATAAAAGGGTCTTGGCGTCCACGTTAATCGATGAACTTCTAAATCAGCCATCAGGCACATCAACTGTGGCAGCAGTTAAAAATTTACATGACACAACGAAAGAGTGTCTATTAGCACTAAACAATCTTGGCGTTCAAACGACATTTTGGGACCCAATTTTGTTACAGGTACTAATTAAAAAACTCGATCGGGCGATGCTCATTAGATATGAGCAATCTCTGGCAAAACCAAAAGAGATACAAAACATTCAGGAGTTTTTAGCCTTTTTAGAACTACAGTTCCAACTGATGGAAGTTGTAGAACAAAAAGATAAGGTGGCTATAAAAATTAAAGCAAATCGAAATAACTCAGTGTCATCGGCTGTAACAGTTTCTAAAGGAAACAACAATTGCAAACTGTGCAATGTAGACAGGCACCCACTGTATCATTGCCGTAAATTCTTGCAATTTTCACCATCTCAACGATTGGATTGGGTGAAAAATCAACAGCTCTGTTTTAACTGTTTCAGAAATGATCATGTGGTGAACAAATGTTCATCAAGAAGTTGTACCAAATGTAATAAAAAGCATAACACGTTGCTACATTTGGAAGTTACAAAACAGAACATTCAACCTAGCTCAAGTGGGTACAACACCGCAGTTACCACAGCGACAGCAAACACATCCACAGGTCATCGTGATTATGTTCTCTTGCCAACTGCAAGAGTCAAAATAACTGCATCGAATGGAAATACAAGTGAAGTCCGAGCATTACTAGACTCTGGTTCGCAAG